CATAATAGTTTTGTAGGTTATTTATTGGATTAGTCGAAATAAATTTAGACGCGCAAGACTTTTCGACCACCCCACGTATAGACCCGGCCTGTAGACTTGCTTTACAGAAATATAATCTTGCATCTTTTTATAAAAAGACACCTGAAGATATAACTGAAGATTTTGTAGAAATATATTCCCAAAAAGAGATGCAAACCCTCTTGATGACTTGCATGAGAATCATAATTTATGGTTATTAATATAGCAGTCAACTTTCGTTTTTCTGTTGATGTAACACATTTCCAGAACTCGTGTATTAACTGTGTTTTCTTTTCTTTCTATTAACAATAGTGTTGTAGTTAGTAAAAGCCAAATTAACCAAATGTTAAACTATTATGAGCCACAACTCAATGCAACTCCAGTTGCAAGGACAGAACCACCACAAGCCATAACTCATGCACTTCCCATCCGTAAACAGGTAGTGTGGGTGATTGAATGCAGGCCGTAACCCCATCCAAAGGGCTATCACCCTTCAGACCTGTCCACTTCCAACCAGATAGAAAACCATTCACACAGGACAGAACCACCACAAGCCGTAACTCATGCACTTCCCATCCGTAAACAGGTAGTGTGGGTGATTGAATGCAGGCCGTAACCCCATCCAAAGGGCTATTACCCTTCAGACCCATCCACTGCTAAACAGAATGTGCTTTCCAATTGCACTTTTGTGATGGGGTGAAAAACACTTAACATGCATCAAACCAAGCACCTTGCCGGCCCGTTTCACTATAGATGTGGGAGCTTCTTCATAGCCTATTATGTCCATTAAGTTACAGGCATATCGATCATGTTCCTGCGCCTTGCTGGGCAGAAAATCATTACATTTATGGCGGTAGTATAGAAAACTCATTAAAGACCAATCACGTTCACTAGTGAAGTAAGCAGGATCTTTTATTGGGATTCCTATCAACAAGGAAAAATTTGATAATCAGAGAGGAAAGCAGAAACCAAAACGCACTGAGAAGAGAAACCAAAAAACGTTCTGATAAAAGAGTATAAGCTACCTTCCATTGTTTCGTCCAACGCGGGTACGCCTTTTGATGTTGACATTGGATTGGTTTTCAACGAACGAGAAAATTTTTTTTACCACAGAAAGAGTGTTACGCAATCGATTTTTCAGGCATGTGATTTTATTTCGGAAATTTGGTCACAGTAATAGTAACAGGTCGTACGATTGCATCATGCATAGTTCCATGACCTTCTAATTTATTCCATGTGTATTACCTGTGAAAATCCGATCTGTTAAGTTATCCGATGTCAGCCTAAGCTCCTTTTTGTAAGATATCGAAGAAGAACATTGTGAGCACCATTAATATCTTTGTTTTGCATTGGGGGGGGGGGGAGCATTCTTAGAATTATTTTAAGTGGAATATATAAATCACCGGTTTATCTCGTAACTCATCTCTCATTTGTTGAAGGACTTCAGGGTCATGTAAATTTGTATAAGTTTTAAGAGCACAAGTTTTACTTGTGTATTCTTCTGTATAAATTACTACTTGACACCGGGATACTCGCGTGCCTTAAGGATCTGATGCTGTTGAGCGATAATGTGACCATGTGTACACATGGCTGGAACCAATGTGAAATTCGGGTAGTAATATTATTATTATACGATAATTTTTACAAAGCCATTTATAATTTAGCCAGCTTGTAATTCACAAGACAACGGATCCTCTTGTGAATGCACAACATAACACGACGTAATGACGCAGTAAAAATGGTCTATTGTATTTTACCTCATTTTGTGTCCTTTTAGATATATCTCTATCCCCCAATATTTTGCTGTCCCAAATTCCCATATCATATGGTGATATATTAATATCATACTATAACAAACTATCATGTCATTTCTATTTTTACGTTCTGCACACTTGATATCGATATTCTTAGAACAAAGAGATTTTACAACAGAAAATGATTAATATAATTCTAGGATCACCTTTTTCCAAGAATTCGCATTTTACAACTGATGATATATATTTACTGGACGATATGTTATCAGGCACTTGTAACTTTTATTCTTAATTGCTTAATTCAGACAATTTGACTTACTCTTATAATACATTGTGTGACAAATCTACTGTAAATCTTAGATTATTATTATCGTGCAGCAAGATCAAGCCATGGTTATAAATAGACAAGATAACTCTTATACATCAACAAATGGAAGTCCGCGTTTGTACAAAAGAAATGTATTTAATTTTTTGCTGTGTGCATAATGGAGACATGGGAGAAGGTCATCGAGGTCAGAACGCGACATGGAATTCTCTCAACAGACAACACTTTGTTTTCCTCAGAACATATGTCATGCAGCATGTAAAGGTGTTCAGAATATCTACTCGCGACCATATCTCCTCGCACAATGCGTTCAGGTAATATTAACTGATTTTCGTAACCAATAATTCAAACTATTGCTTACGCTTAGATAACGAATACCGTTACATAAAAGTTGGTCCTAGAAAATTAAGTAACACTTCTTTCATACACATACATTCAATACATGAGGGACTATTTTACTCATTAAATTCTTAGTCCCACTAGAGGTGACGACATAACTATAATCCATAATAATAAAGGCATATGTTATGCGATCCAATGTAAGGACCATAGTCGCAAAATTGGTTCGTAATATTATAAAAAATATATTCAACTGACAGAGGAGTTATTAGGTACAGTCATACTTCGTTTATATCCCACTTTGGGATACAAATGAGGTAGCATAGACCATTCATTTAAAATCATCCAATTTTGTTGGTTAATAAATGAAGTTTAGCCTTTTCTGCGAACTTATCTAAACGTCGAATTATATTGCGTAATATATATTAATATGCATTTGGTTATGACCTTTATTGTGTGTTATGCCATTGTCTACCAGCGAATTACACCAAGGGAAATCAACAACGGTCTTAATAATGTGAATTAGAATCCATATTTTTTATTCCTTTGAACAAATTTTCCAAGCCGCTCCAAGTATAGACCATCCTGTTAAGTTCGAAGGAGCAATAACAATAGCACGCTGTGCTTGTCGGAGGGCACTTTTTTTTGCCTTTCTCATAGTTTCCTGATCAATGTCATCCTCGCCAATCTGTAACAGAAGTGCTACGGCAAGATTCTGATGTGCCTTTGCGCTATCAAACGTATTAGAAAGAGATGATCGAGTACTGCTTAGTAACGACAAAGCAGACGTGGCAATGGAAACAGTTGGGTTAGAGCAAGATATACTAGTAAGGTGGGTTGCTAAACGAGCCCATGCCATCGCATTAGCTGGTTGACGATGTATGGCTTTTGACAGCCATCTTGTTGCTTCTTGCGGAGAACCCTGGAGATTTATTGTAAAAGAATGTCAACTCGTTCGCGTGATCAGAGCATAGCTAGTAATATAAATTCCGTTTCCATTGCTTACCTGAAGCAAAGAGCAACGACTAAACAAAAACTCGAGGTTTTGGTCTTTGTCCAGTTTGCCTACATAATATATTATTGGCTTTTAATAGAACAATCAAGAAAGCAGTTTTTCGGACGCTTCTTACCGGCAGTTTCAAGTGACACCTTGCGCAAATCCGTCAAGGCTGCAGTTGATAAAATTTCATTTTCTTGGAGTATACCAATTGCGCACAAACCAAATAATGCTGGTAAATGATTTGGATCCCTTGCAATACTACATTAGGATAACAATGTTTTTGTTGAATACCTACTGCTAATAGAATAAAGATTTCATAAATTTGTTACTTGCCATTGAAAAAGTTTAGTTTCAGCCTCCTCATTCTCCCCAAGCGCCCACAGTACTTGAACTAATAACACTGTAACATTTTTATGCATATCCGTTATACCATTTACTCCACTCTGATCATCACTCTCCCTCAGCAGCGCATCGAACATTTCCAAAGAGTTTTCCAACTGGTCTGCAAAATAATAGGAAAGTCCAAGACCAAGCCGAGAATAGGTTCTGAATTCTGTTAATCCACTTTCTTGATCGATAAGATTGAGAGCGGTAGTGTAAGCAGCTATCGCATCATGGAAGTTTTGACTAGCACAAAGAACTCGTCCGAGGTTCCCATGCGCGTAAGCAAGCTTTTTTGAGAACGATATATCATCACTTTCTTCGCTTGAATTCTCTAATGCTAATATTGCTGCGCTAAATGCCTCTGCTGCGCGTTTAGGCTGATTAAGTCGTTCAAGAACAAGCCCCAATAGATTTAAAGCTGCTGCGTCATCTGGCTTTTGCTCGATTAATTTTTCTAGAGCAAATACTGGAGAAACAAGTAGCGAGCTGGAGAACGCAGGATTGGAGAGACATTCGTTGAATGTTTTAGATGCAAAGCCGTAGTCTGCTTCCGGCTAAATCAATTTACAGATATACGCGTTAAACGTGGCTTATTAGTTCGACGTATTAATGAATATTAGCTTACCACATAGCCTCCTCCGCTGATATCGAAAGCATGTTCAAACAATTCTGCGGCTTCCTCGTTTCCCCACAGATTTGCGACATAAGCTTGGCCGACCCAAGCTTGGACCCAATCAGGATCCAAAGAACGTGCCTTTAAGAATGCTTGGTTTGCAAGCTCCAAGTCGGAATGAAGTAAATAAAGGAATCCAAGATTCGTCCATGGGGCTGGATTCTAAGTTTGCGGGAAAGCATGAGCGTTATGTGTTTATCACTTGAATGTGCTTCGAGATCAAAATATCATACCTTTGGCGAGTGTTCGATTGACTTTATGAAGGCATGCTGACTGATTTTTGCATTAGCCGTCAGGCTTACAACACCAAGTGCATTCCAAAAGTTGGAGTTTTCTGGTTCAAACTTTAAAGCAATCTTTATACATCGTATGCACATGGACAAACATGTGGAGAGCTGTTCGTCATTTCCTTCAGGCTGCTCCAAAAGAGTCTTATGTATATTATAATATGTAATACTGAGGTCATGCCAATAGCCACCAACAGATTCTCTATCCTTGCCGTTAAGAAAAATTGCGTACTTGTAGGCTACGCACGCACAAGTCAAGAAACATAGCAAAGTATCCCAAGAAGAGGCAACAGTTTTACTTTCAAGTCCACGAATAATATCCAAACCAAGGTAATCTAATCCCTTGGGAAGATGAAGAGACTCGTCAACTTTTGTTGGATCTACTTTATCAACGATATCTTTCACCACGCGAATGTCTATCAGATGTAGGTAGTTGGGAAAACATCTAACGAGGGAGCACAAATCGGCTATAAGCTTCCAAAGAGACTGGAGTTGCTGATTTGCCTTTATAGCACGTAATAATGTGTGTAGTCCGTCATTTGTAGCAACGGCAGCACGACCGTAAAATCCTGTAACGAAATACTCCTTTGCTAATGAAAGGTAACTGTCACCGCGTCCTTTTAAAGAAGGTAAGTGGTCCGCGTCACCTAATTCGACCGCCATGGAGAGCGTGAGGTTATATTGATCGATAGCTTGAGAGAACAGTCCAAGCTTTTGCTTTACATTTGCCATCCGGTAATTAGAAAACAAAGAGTGAGGGTCGAGATCCCTTGCTTTATCAAAAGCCTTTATTGAGGCCATATATCGTCCCTCGCGTTGATAAGCCTCTGCAAGACCCTCCCAACAGAGAACATCTTTTACATCTGTTCGAATAGCTTTCTGGAAGTCTGTTATAGCATCCTGATAATTTCCTTTCGCCTGGACAGACGGGTATTGTCGTTAAAAGAAGGCATAAACACATACAATCGTTACTTTCCATACTCACCAATTCAACAAATCCTAAACGTTTCCACGCCCACCCAGCCCTGGAATTAGCTTGAATCGCTTCCCGGTATACAAGCTCGGCCAAATCGGCTTGGTCGTCTTTGACATAATATGTGCCTAATTGTAGACCAGCCTCATCATTATGCGGGTCAATGGAAAAGGCTTTCTGATAACACTTTTTTGCTCGAGCGCTGTTATCTTCAATGGTTCGATAGTAATGTCCGAGGTACGTAAATGCGTCGGCAAAATTCTGATCATTGTTAACTGCTTGAAAGAACGACGTGCAGGCAAAGGCCTTATCCGTTCTGTAAGATCCTATTTATAAAGCAAGCTTGTTTTACGAAAAATCTTTAATGCTGAACAGACATCCAAAACTTACATACCGTCCATTGACCAGTAAATCCGCCCGAGTCTGTAATGGTAAAGCGCACATTGGGGACAGATCTCCAAAGCTTCAGAAATAAGACGTTGTGCTTCATCATAACTTCCCTTTGCGAAATATACCCAGCCTATTTCACTTTTGGCTTCGTGATTGGATGGATCTAGTTTAAGGATTCGTTCAAAAGTCTCTATAGCGACTTCGAACTTCTTCTGTGCGGAAAGCACCTTCCCGAGACCCTACAATTAAATGTAATGAATGTCAAACAGGTAACAGAAACAACCTTATGCCAACTTATACAAATAAACTTGAAATGTACTTGTAAAGCCTGGATATTGTCATTGTCTGTTTTTAGGATGTCTTGGTACAAAGCAAAAGCGTCAGGATGATATTTTGTGTCAATATTAAGATAGCAATTGGCTATACATAATTCGAAGGATTGTCGGGTTCTATAACAAGAGGACTTCAGCAAAAGATATAAACTGGTCATATATAACAATTAAGTCACTCAAAGAATATCTTTACCTCTCCAAAGGAAATCCGGTTGCCTTTGCATTCTTAGATATTAAGTCTCTTCCAGCCGTCGCGTATTCAAGAGCTGAATCATAATCGCTTGAATCATGATACAACCAGCTGAAGAATAAATGACCAAAGACACTATCTTGTTGGTCAAAGCCTTCCTAGAAATTAATGGTAGTTTAATCAAACTAAAAATGATTCATGGGCTATCCTCAATCCATTATTACTCACACTAACTTCCAGACTTTCGTCAATAGAATCTTCTTTGTAATGTAAAAATGCTCTGACAATCTTAGAGTACTCAGTGTTCGGAAACTTGTCGACATACTTCTTCAATAGAGACTCATCATAATCACCTGGATAAATATATTGAATTATACGAACTCATTTCCAAACAAACCAACAACCGCACTCACTTAAATACTGAGCATCCGTATTTTCTATAAGTATTTCGTATGGTAATGGAGAACCGAAATCTCTTTCCACAGACTTTTGTACTTCCTTCAGAAGTTTGTCTCGCAACTATAATAACTTTGGGTAGTTCCATAGTGTCATTTGTAAACATCACTTCGCAACACCCTTCCTCAGATTTACTCACGGCGACTTTTTTATCCAAAGGAATTGCTTTTATTTTCTTCTGAAGATGTTCCAAATATTTTTCTATAATGCTGTTGAGATTGATTGATACTTCAGACTCTTCACCTAGACGAATAAGCCGTTCGTATATTTGTTCGAGCTGAAAAAGAAATTACTGAGAAACTGCAACTATGCGAGCGGTTGCGGATGATTCGCTTACCTCTGAATTTGTATAGACCTCTGTATGAACCTGTGCTTGAACAATAGAAGGTGGTGGAGCATCCAGTCGTTTTCGTCTTGAGTTAATCTCGCGCCGTATATAATCAGACTCTTCTGTCTCTAAGATATCGGCAATTCGTTGTAGCGTGTCTGATATTTTAGGGAAGCCCTCGACATCTTTGATAAGATCATAATATGAACTCTCTGGCAGCAGATATTTGAGCGCCGCGACAAGCTGTTAAATAAAGTCACATATAAACCAGATACTTTGCCCACATATGCGCTTGATATATTAAGAGACTTACCCCTAATCTGTCCTTGATTTTATTCTGATTTAATTCGATCAATTTGTTTACCGTCTCATAGGACTGCTTGGCATCTTTACTGAGATGAAACAGCTATTAGTAACCCTGAGGTTTGCAAAGAGAAAAAGATAATCGGAGCATCATACCGTTCACTCTGTCTCACTAGCAGTTCCGTTAAAGTGACATTGAGAGCATTCCAATTCTCTTGCTTTTCGTAGAATTTGACGAGACCCTAATCAAAAAAGTGATCATTGTTAGAATTATTTGACGGGTTACATATCTGCATGCAGGGGAAAACCCCAAAACCTAACCTGCCATGCGAGTACTTGAGAGTCATTGATTTCGATTGCTTTCCGGTAAGATTTTTCACAATCATCCGGTTGATTAAGATTCAATTGAGCCACCCCGAGAAACACGAATCTATTCTCCATAATGTTGTTGGTTAATAGGCCATAGTTTATTAATGCTGTAGTGGTCGACAATACTTACGCGTTGTAGTTATCTGCCTGGTATTGCAATACCTTTTCACATTGTTTGATGGCTTCTTCGTAGTTCTTGGTACCGATGGCATCCCTTGCATTCTTCAGTGCAATCTTAATATAAGACATGAATGATGTATGAAAGCTATCTGGGGAGATAGGTTCCGATAAATATACAGAGTAAATAAATAGATATCTGATTTAACTGCTTGTCAATCAACTACCGTATTTGGTCTTGATGGCTATGAAATTATTGCCCAATTCTGTATTTTATGACTACTCATCATCGTGTCACTTTATCGTATCACAGGCCATTGTAAACGATTAGACTGCAAAAAACTTAGTATCGTGGATCACATGATTTAATATTAGTATTAATTATACTGAAGTAAATATTTATACTAACATATAAACGAATGGCAAGGGTCTTGCCGCATTTCGTGAACAATGTTCGCATATTTAGCGTTGGTGAAACTAGTTTAATATCTAGAAATCTTCTTTTTTGAAAAAAAAAAAAAACCAAAACAAAACGGTAATAGGAATACATTATTGTTGCTGTTGTAAGCAGATCACTTTATCGCATTGCAGCTCTCACAACAAGGTTTTCGAAAATCACAATAAAGAAGAGTTTAAATATCTACTTTTTCCTGGTAATCCAAAGACGCTTGCTAGATTATTGCCCAATAACAATAACCAAAAGTGAATTCAAATATTAAACCAAGTCTGCGGACGTACATTTAACTGTGCTTATTAGAGGATGTCTTACTACAATATTAGAATATAGAACAAAACAGTTAGACCCGTCAGACTATTGTAATACGCGAGTCAAACTTTAGTCAACTATTTTGGTCTTCCTGTTTTACAGCATATAATCAGGGTTTTAAATTTTAACGAAGCACTTTTCTCAAGTAAAGGCTGCCCAATATCTCTGGCCACAGAACGAAAACAAATAAAGTGGATATTTTTACTTTCATTATTTAATTGCGTTATATTAGTAACAAAAAACAAATGGTGAAATTTTTTAATCAATTACTATTCGCCCAATTTGGATCCAAACTGAGTCGCAAAACATTCAAAACGAACATGACAAGTTATTGTTATTCCAGTGCTCTCGCCAAAAAACTCATAACACTCGAACAATGATGACATATCTGCACATTCTGACTAACATCACTCTCAGCAATCAATTACAATATTAAAAATTTTTTTTTATTTTTTAAACTGGCGACGTTTTACGTAAGGCTGAGCTAGAAAATTACGTATGGCGCAGCACAAGATTTGGGGAGACACGTCTTTGTCATTGAAACTTTGGCAACTAGATGCTGCTAATAACATAAACGACAATTTTGAGACATTATAGTTACCAGAAAGGCATTCTACGAGCAATAATAATAACAATATCAGCAAAATTGCCAAATCATTTCTTAATAAAAATGTGTCAAACTAGTAGGCTGACCACAGTTTTCGGATTTAAATGGAATATAATCAAGATAAATGTAGAAGATTACCAAAAATTGTGGCAATTATAAAGGAAAAAATTCACGATACGGTTCTAATTAATTTAGTCAACTCTATGAAAACGCGCTGCGAGCTTTTTATTGGAAAAAAAGATGAAAGGATACCACGTATATTAACTTACGTTAAATAAATCCACAAGACTCGACGTTTCAAATAAGCTGTTTTACATTTATTTTTATTTTTATTTTTATTTTTATTTTTATTTTTATTTTTATTTTTATTTTTATTTTTTATTTTATTTTTTATTTTATTTTATTTTATTTTATTTTATTTTATTTTATTTTATTTTATTTTATTCATTTCTCCAATTCTTTCTGTTGCACACTATTTAAGCTTGCTCGCGTGCTGCTCATCTAATAAGACAATAAATTTATTTAACTATTGGTGCGCTCAATTACAACTGTAAATGAGTAGTTGTTACCAATGCCATAGTCTGCATACACTCGTGCTCTATTAGTTGTTGCTGCTCTTCCACAAACGTGTCTTTTTGCTGAAAATCTTGCACCTTTCTTCGTCGTGCGGAAATGTTCCCATAAATCCGTTATTGAACCCGCGATATGAAATAAGAGAACCAGTGCATCAAAGATCCCTTTGCAACTGAATTATTATTTCTGTTTCTGAATAAAAACTCTGCTCTTGGTTCGTATTGCCAACTGACAAATTGTCGCTTCAGAAAACTAAAAAGGGTGGTGAGTTTAATAGTGTACCAAATCATTTTGAAAGGGAAAGAAAACTAATAAATATCGGCTATAGACATCATATATGTAAAGTTTAATTCGCAGTCAATAAAAATAAATACGATTACAAGGTTCGGTGATCCCTATCCCCCGTCTATTATTATCTACTGTACTTACGTCTAACGGCAACTGCATTAAGAATTACCTATTCCTGAAGCTAAGCAGTAGGTTTGGTGTGAAAAGAACAATAGCAATAGAAGCATTCTTTTAGTGAGAGTAATGAAAAAAATTATAGTGCTATAATCATCTATCCCTTACGAGCTATCTTTTTATTGGAGTGCTTGTGGAGGCAACAACGAAACTCACACTCATCACTGTTTATCAATCTTAATCACAACCTTATGTCCCAACCATTCATTGTATTAGTCAGAAACTGCCTTAATCTTCGTTTATGTCGCTCCCAATGGTTCTCTCAAAACGGCCAACACGTCTTCCGCTCATTAAGACATAATATAATGTACACTATCGAAGGCTGACGACGTGGAAGACTGCTTTCAGGAAAGGACGCGCGGAGATAACGACAGAAACTCAATAATTCTGTTGGTAGAGCGTCAAGGCCGCAGGTAATCATCATTGCCTATTTTTTTGCTGTTAGCTATATTAATGAATAAGCTAACGATTGTCTTGTTTCTTTTAAACTCTACAAAGACCCAACGAACGTTGCCAATAGATTTTCATCACTAATCCATTGCTATTGTTACTAATATTAACATCGAATCTCACTATTAGTATTACTATCATTACAACCACAAACACTCCTGTCATAATTACTCGCACTCTTAACAATAACTTCCTTTAGGAAAACTTACCACCCCATCACTGTTAAGGCGCTTTTCAACATTATTCCTATGATCCCTATTCCGCAGATGTATTTTTAAATTATTCAAAGTAAATTCTGGTCCCGTCCGATATAGCTTCCCCGGACAGTCGTGACAGCGTATGCAAAACTCATTTCGGCGCTCTATTATCTCAAAGCGATCATTTGGATACCGCGTCTGCAACAAGTCACGTTCTCTGATAATCCAATCAGGAAGCACAATTTGTCTCTGTGAATCATAAAATACCGAAAGTGAATATAGTTGAAGAAATAAATACTCTGCAAACATTGAAATTACCGTGCTGCTTGTTGACATCGACGAAGTTAACGAAGACTGTGTGGTAGTAGATGTAGATGCGGACAAGGGTCCGGATGGTCCGGATGGTGGTGCGGATGGTGGTGCAGGTGGTGGTGCGGATGGCGGCGCAGATGGTGGTGCAGATGGTGGTGCAGATGGCGGTGCAGATGGCGGTGCAGATGGTGGTGCAGATGGTGGTGCAGATGGTGGTGCAGATGGTGGTGCAGATGGTGGTGCAGTTGTCGAATGATTATCAATAGAATTTGCATCCTGTACATTATTAGAGTTGTTCTTTGACGTAGATGATGCTGCCTCTTTTGGCGCTGTAATTTTTATTGTAGGAGATGCGGAGACTCTGACTTTAGCAGACTTTTTGTTCGCCTCCGATTTGCCTTGTTTCCCAGCATTTAGTTTAATTTTTTTGTGATCGTTTCTGGATGATGATCTCTCCTTCTGTTTAACGCTGGCTTTTGGCGTTTCTGTGAGTTTTGTTGCTGTCGCTGGCTTCGGTGCGGTAAGGCTAGCCGAAGGTCGAGGTTGAGTAGGCGCAGAACTTGTGTTGTTATTGCTTGATGAGACACCTGGTGATGATATCACGGGAGTTGGGCTTTCGTCGCGAGCATCTGGAAAGAAATTTTTTTTGTGACCATCCAGTCGATTAGTTCGTCATTGTAAACAGTTATTTGAAAGTAAAGTCCTAAACAAGATAGAAAAACCATGTTGGCGTATACGTGTCAGTGAGGTCTGATCTTGTGAAAATAAGAAAATTCTCTAAAATAAGATAAATCAAAACTCACGTCGATTGTGTTTCGTGCTTACCGCAGGCATTGCACAAATTCTAGCGAATATATTATAGTTAGAAACGTGTATATGGACAGCAAGAAGGTTGAGCAGCATCAATATACTTACCTTATCAATGCCAAGCCCTTTTCGTGAAGAAGATACTTTTGTGCCACAGCTGTCACATGTCCACTCCTCTAATTCCTTGTTTGGTGGCCCTGAAACTTAACAGTTGATCAAAAATTATAATGAATGTGCTATACACTCAAACTACAAAAACCTAACGTTTTGTTTATTAAAAATCTATTGATATCACTAATAAATAATAACGAAGCAATTCTATGAATACATATATACAAATGACAATCTCCAAACTACAATCCCACACAAATCTGGAACTGATCTAGAAACCTGACTCAACTCGACGCTTCTTCACTACCTCTCTTGAATCACGCGAGGGAGTACTTGGCCCCGCAGATCCTGGACGACCCGAGTCAGAATCCATAGAACCAGTCGCTTGCATTGCTGTGGCACCGCGTAGAATTGTGGCCGCTGTCCCCGGGCGACCTCGTGCGCGTTGTCGTGAAGAGGGTGTTGCGCTCTTATCAGTAATTGCTGAATAATTATCGTAGCCTAGTGAGCTGAGTTTACGTAAAACTGGAGGAAACCCGGTGGCCGTGACTGCAATAATGTTGGTTTCGTCGGCTGGATCGGGGGCGTAGGTAAGATTATGTATAAGGGTGCGATGGCATTTTGGTGCTTCGCGGTCAGGAAGAATTACGCCGCGTCTGCCACGGGTCTGGCGTCGCTTCCGTCTATGTTGTAATCAGTAAAAAAAATGATACAAATTATTCGCGGGACATTTCAAATGCATACTTAAAGATAATTAATTGTATATACATACCTGGCATCTCTTTCTCTATCTTTCTCTATCTTGTCTATTTCAGCTTCTGTCAATTCTACTAGCACTGGTGTGTGTGCATCAACAGAATCTTCTTTCCGTACTATATTTGTCACAGGCGGCAAGAAACTTTGTTTCAGGTCGTCGTCAATGACTGGTGTACCGTCAAACGGATGTGCGACCAGTACCAATGATTTAACGTATATTTGTACTTGCTCTCGTATGGAATGAGCGATTGCGGTTCTATATGAAGATTGAATATAATATGTTAAGATATCGAAATCTTCACAAGCATCTATTCTCTATCTCACAAAAAGATATTAAACATTTACTTGAATTCACCGCTTAGCCCCAGTTCTGTGGTAAGAATTTCAGCAAATAACTCGGGATCATTCTTTTGATTATTAATGTCCCATTCAAATTGGTCAACAAGTGATATATTTCCAACAGTTATGTCAATCTGTGAGTAATTAACATGTTAATATACACGCGCAATAATTACGAACACGCAATTCAGAAATAGCCAGCAATTAACCTTAATCAGTATTCTCAGTTCCTCGAGTGAGGATGCATTAGCGTCTTCCTTCAAATTATCTGCAACGTTACTTGACTGCAAGTCAACGTCTATCTGCTCACTTTTTACACTAGCCGGCGGATCCACGCCAGGTAGTCCAAAAAGTAGATTAGTTCCTTTCCCAGCCGTTGATGGCGGCGCGGTTGCAGGATGCAAATAGTATCCTTGTAATTGATCTCGCATTTGCTTTGCTATTTGATGCACAAATGAAGCTGGTGGAAAATGCATATCGTCGCAAAGTATCTCCGCAAAGTGCTCTGGACTTATTAAACTTTCTAATTGATCACAAGTCAGGCAAAATTAGTATCAGCATTGGGGAGCAAAAGAAAAAACAGAATAGCCGGCCTTGCTTTGAAAAATAAGTTGGACAAACGTATGAAAATACCATAGAGATTCCATGTGAAGGTATCACGTAATTTATGTCCATCTGAATCAATCTCCAGTCGTATTGGAACAAGGGCGATATCCTTTTGTGCTAAATCGCTCATTTGGTCAAGCGTGCTAAATAAATATAAGCAAATTTAACGATATATATTCACCTAGACATCGCAACAGAGCCAACAAGTTACTTACAATCTAAACTCACGAGTCCTTCTTGGTCGCTTTCTCTCGTGTGGATAAACAATCCTGAACCTGGTCCCTGTTATACTGTTCCCATATCCATTATAACCCTCACCAAACATAGCAAGAAAGTTCCTAGGCTGTCTAAGCTCGGCGTGGGCGATTTCCATTTCTTTCCATTTCTCGCTTCTCAATGCAAAATGTCTCTTATGCTGAAGATCAAGCGCTTTTTGATATAACATATCTCGGCGCACATATTGATCTAAGTATTGCTTCTGAACAGGAGTAAGATCAGGTGCGGGTTCATAAGGTTTAGAAATTGAAGATCGAGAGTGAGAATCGTGATTATGGTGGTGATGGAGAGATTGGTTGACTGATGCACCGCTGTGATGACGTTTATGACCCTGAAGATTGGGAGATGATTCTTGGAGAGGCTGCTGATGAATTTGTGATTGCTGTTGAGATAGTTGTCTTGTCAATTGTCGAAGTTGTTGGGGTTGCGGTCGTGATTGTATTTGTGGCTGCAATTGCTGCTGTTGCTGTTGCTGTTGCTGTTGTTGTTGTTCTTGTGGTTGTTGTTCTTCTTGTGGTTGTGGTTGTTGTTGTTGTTGCTGCTGCTGTTGTTGTTGTTGTTGTTGTTGTTGTTGTTGTTGTTGCTGTTGTTGTTGCTGTTGTTGTTGTTGCTGCTGCTGCTGCTGCTGTTGTTGTTGTTGTTGTTGCTGTTGCTGTTGTTGTTGTTGTTGCTGTTGCTGTTGCTGCTGCTGTTGCCGCTGTTGTTGTTGTTGAAGTGTTTGTGGTGACATCTGTGGAGTTTGTGGTGGTCTTATTGCCGAACGTGCACGTAGACGAAGATTAATCATTTGCTGTTGTGTGAGTTGTTGGCGTGATGACTGTGGTTGTTGCTGATGTTGGAAGAGTTTTTGTTGTTGTGCCTGCACCTGCGACTGTTGTAATGATCTGAGATTGCTCATACGGCTAACATTTTGTGGCATTCGTTGCATGCCTTGTTGAAATAGATCTATTCCCATATTGTTGCCACCACTCTGTGAAGTCAGAGCTCCCAAGTTACCTGGATTCAATCCAGCTGTATTAAATACGACCTTCTCAAAAGATGATAGTGGAGGTATTGATGCGCCGGTTACGGATTGTAGGCCTTGTCTATCTTGGTACAAGTATTGCCCTATGACGTTATTTCCAGCTGCCAATTGTTGTGCCCCGTAATTTCCTACTCCACTAAATTGTTGCTGCTGTTGTTGTTGTTGTTGTTGCTGCTGCTGTGCTATTGCGGCGTTGATCATCCTTTGGTTCGCAAGCTGTTGCGAGTTGAAGTTCGTATACTGTGGAGATGACTGTTGGATTAAGCCCGAATTACCAAGCGCGGAACTGCTTTCTGAGTATACGGCTTGTTGCTGTGGGTTAATGTTCGGTAAATGATCGTAGGAATCCATGACCTAGTGATTTTATTGGCGAGAATCAAACGACTGAAGTAGATCTGCTCAGAGAGTTTTAACTCTCTACGTAAAGTCAAAAGCGTGCTGTACAGTTTTCTCTTCCTGCAACAATGCCTAACCCTAATACTTGTGGCTTCTTTATTTGGGCAATATCCGCTGATCTGTATAACAGTTGTCATATGATTACACACTGCCGCAGCAATCCACCAACATACTCGTCGGACATTTGCACCAGAAATTTCAATGCTTTTTTAGGAAGTTGCAGAAAAGCAGTATAATAAATGATGAAACAGCATGACCTAAGCGTAGAATTTTGCTCGTATCTTTTTATTCTAACTGCTTACAAAAACGAAACTCTTTACTAGTTATTACTATATACACCCGATCGTATATATGATAAATGAAATATTGCTAGAATCGCTAAATTCAAGAATATGAGCATTGCAATGTTGCAGTAAAGGAGTGTGTTGAGAAGACTTTGTTGACTTTTCTAAGGTCGCATCGATTCAAGTTACTATGATAAAATCTGTATTATCAATATCGACGAAAACTGAATTGACGCGTATAGCTTATAAATCTATGGAAGGGATAAATGTCTGGGTTCGAAAATATAGAAATATTAATAATAAGATAAGATCTAATTACAGTGAACGCCCTCTAAACGCAACCTCTCTTAATGCAGCTTCTCTCTAAATGCGTAGCAAGTGTTCAATCCATAATGAGATAAGCGCACCTCTAAATGCAATATTATATTTATATGTGATCAAGCTAACCAAAATTGCGCAAAATGCATATTAATATGTTAGATTTTCAACGAATATGCTAACGTACAAAGATGATCTTCAGTAAATCTAAATTCTGGTCAAGAAGCAATTAATTTTATAAGATTACTGTAGAGAAAATAACAAAATGGATTCAAGGAATATCTTATCGGATACGGTCTCTCTTGAATTAGGAGGTGATAATAGCCAGGCATCTTAATTAGAGAATCATAAACGCGATAGGGACTAGGTTTCGCGTCTTTAGTAAAAACTCTAATACACAGTACTGCTTTATCGCTTATAGGTCCATGAAATACTCCTGCAAATTTGCAAATGACTCATTAACTGATAAAAAGGTCGATTAGTATTAGATACCGATGCACGTGATCAAGACATAATCAGCAAATTTTCTCCCCCAAAACTGCCAGATTAATGTTTAATTACAATGATGGCAAAGACGGCCTGCATGCGCGCATTAAATAATGCTATAAGTCGACGTCACATATCATCCAAATCGATGGCTCAAAAACATGGTCTCTATCATGAGAGATTCGAAGCTGTTATTGGACTAGAAATTCATGCGCAAATAAATTCGAAATCAAAATTATTCTCTTGTGGGTTTCAGTGTTGATAGGAATTGTCTTTATACCCAGACGATAATAAATAAACAACGATCTCACCCCTTATTTGTAAACAGCGTCTTCAGCATCATTTAACAAACCAGTCAGTTCCAATGTATCAGTGATTGATGCTGCATTTCCGGGAACTATTCCGGTACATTCGACATCTGGTTTTTTGCCATATCTGTATATAATTAACAAGCGATCTAACGCATAAATAACGAACATTACAGAAATTGAATAAAAAGTGTGTAGATCTTGCCGTTGCTACAGCTTTTGCACTATCGGGAGAAGTTCAAAGGACCTCATCCTTTGACAGAAAACACTATTTCTATCCGGACTTACCTGCAGGGTATCAAATTACACAACATTACGGTATATTCTTACCGTCAACATAATGTAAAGAAGAGGATTTCTTTATGTAAAGTTGGTATTCTAATTGTATGTTTATCAGCACCGCTATCCGTCGGTGGGCAGATCCGACTCTCATCACTGGACGGTTTGAATTATGAAAAATTGATCCGTATCAAGCAGCTTCAGATCGAGCAAGTATGTGCAAGCAGAGGCGCAATTCTATGATACAACTATTTATAGAAACAGATATATCATGTAGGATACTGGCAAGAGCATACGAGATGTTCGGCCGGGAATGACTCTTGTCGATTTGAATAGAGCAGGAATTGGATTAATGGAAATTGTAACTGAACCTGATATCAGGTGACCATTTCAATAGTATGGTTATTCTTTTTTTATTCAATAACAACACATCTTAAATCGATTTTCTAAAGATCCCCAATCGAAGCTGGCCTCGTGGTACGTAAATTGCAGGCTCTAATGCGCGCCCTGGGATCATCAGATGGCAACATGGAAGAGGTAATCATTCGTTCAGAAATATCAGTTGCGTAGGATAGTTAGCTGAATACCATAAATATTACGTTTAGGGATCATTACGATGCGATGTAAATGTCTCTGTCCATGAACCAGACAAAGCCTTCGGCATTCGATGTGAAATCAAAAACTTGAACAGTATAAAATTCCTTGTGTCTGCCATCGGTAAATTTCATCACATCTGTATTGTATTATCAAGAGTTACCTTAATTCAGTACGTGGAAATTGTCCTATAGACGCGGAGATTCAACGTCAAATACAAGACATCTGTCGTGGTGTCAGTATTGTGCAAGAGACGCGTGGTTACGATGTCTCGTCCAACGGGACTTATAGGCTAAGAGAAAAGGAAACAGCACCGGATTACAGGTTTGATTTGATCATGTCTGAATATGGGTTGAAACATGTAAAACTTTTCATCATATTTACTTTATGACTGTCGCCACGTAATAGATACATGCCAGAGTCAGACTTGCCACAACTTGTTCTTTCAGAGGTAGTTAGTGTAGCAATACATGTGCGGATATGGAAGAAAAACTGACACGATTCCTACGCTTCTATCTGCGTTAGGATTACCTGCGACACATCAAAGATTCACTTCCTGAATTACCTGATGACACGAAGAAACGATTAATTAAGAAATACAATCTATCCTTAAACGACGCTTCGACTTTATTAGGAGAGAGCGGCGGCATTGAATATTTTGAAAATGTGCGTATTTTACAAACAATATAAAATTTAAGGGCAACCGAATTAACACGCATCAATTCGCATAGGTAGCAGCCGCTGGTAGGAATCCCCAACATGTCGTAAATTGGTAATTATTGTGCGGCTCAGTCAGTCGGTTATATCTATCTTCATGACCATTTAATATACAGTCTATTTAGGATAACACACGAACTATGGGGAAGATTAAATTCAAGGGAGATTAGATTTCAGGATAATCCAGTTTCACCCGAGCAATTGGGCTCATTGATTGATTGTGTAGTCAACGACACTATTTCTGGTAACTTACCATTACAGTGAACTCCTTTAGTGCAATACAGTCATAGTTTGCATCTACGGAAATTTTTGCGTTGTATCATAAACGCGTCACCCGGTATTCTGCTGACCACTTAATCGATATTGTGTCAATAGGTAGAACAGGAAAAGATATATTGAATCAGATGATCGATGGTGATAGGCGATTAGCATTTGAAATAGTCGAAGCCAATGGGTTAAGACAATTATCAGACCCTGATGAATTATCTAAAATATGTATGACCATTATTAAAAGATTTCCGCAACAGGTAAGAGAACACCATTGCGTTTGATTCGTTTAAATTCAAATAATTAAGCCGCTCTGTCTGTAAAGGTTGAGAACATCAGAAACGGCCATAAAAACACTTTCCAATGGTTAATCGGACAAGTAATGAGGGAAACGAAAGGGAAAGCGAACCCCGCTCTGGTCCATAAAACACTATCAGATTTAATTCTCAAATAAAACTGTCACCATTTTCCCAGACGCCGATGAACTACTTTTCGAATATAATAATATATGAATATTACTACACGTAATACATCGGATATTTCTTCACGAACCCGGTATTGACGGCTGACCATTCTCCCGTTTTTAAATCGACGAAAGATCTAGCACGGAAAGCAGCAATATGCGCATAATACGCGGGTGCTGGAATGGAAACTGCCTGCGTGACCTGCTGGAAGTTGTAACACAGCCTGTACGTGAAATCGTGCAACTCGTTAACATTAAATTTATTCTCATCCAAGAGAACATGGTAGTGAGGTGTCCTGCACGTTCCAAAACTAGTGGAACTAGATTGAAGGAAGTAATCGTATAGAAAAGAATGTGCTACAGTACTATAGGCAATAGTACGTTACTCTTTTTGTCATCCCAGTAGAATCGAATGTGATGTCGTTTGCCGACAACAATATTGGTAATTGGTGGCTGATAAATACGACGCAAGTTAGCACCGCTATCCGTCGGTGGGCAGATCCGACTCTCATCACTGGACTGTTTGGATTATGAAAAATTGATTGTATTAAGCAGCTTCAGATCGAGCAAGTATGTGCAAACAGAGGCGCAATTCTATGATACAACTATTTATAGAAACAGATGTAGGATACTGGCAAGAGCATACGAGATGTTCGGCCGGGAACGACTTGTCGATTTGTATAGAGCAGGAATTGGATTAATGGGAATTGTAAAGATCAGCCTTTTTCGGTCTTTGAGTCCAAGCCTTTTAGCCCCATAACCTATTTTTGACAACGTTGGAGGTTTAGCCAAATTCAAAGTCAAAGGTTATATAATAGGATCAATTGAAGTTTTGCGTCCTTTTATCAGTTACACCTACGATTGAACGCTAAAGGTGTACATAATAGGATCAATTAACATTGGACGTAATAGTAACAATCGAGTATTTATCCGCCGCTTATTCCGCTTTTCTCGTAATAATTCGGATTATTGTCACGGTTATTTAGGTTAATTTTTAGGTAAGTATGATTTTTAAAAAAAAATCCGAACGGTATTATTATTATTATTATTATTATTATTATTATTATTATTATTATTATTATTATTATTATTATTATTATTATTATT